TATTTATCCAGTGTTGTGTTGGTCGTTGCTATGAGTCTTGTCTGAACAGTAGCAGAGATGTTGACGATGTACCCGACAGGGTTGCGAAAATCATTGGACATTGTGTCTGAAACAGATTACATATTTAGCTTTACACACCTTGGGATGATATGGTCTTTACAATAGATTGCTGTTTATTTTTCATATCAGCCTCTTGTGACATCCCTCAAAGGGGGTTAAAGTATTGTAAAATTATTGTCCTCCTGAGAGGGCACGTAAGTCCCAAAACTTTCAAAGTAAAATTTAAACTTACCAGATTTGTTAAACGTAATAGTTTTGTTATTTTAAATTTCGGCTAAAATGTCCTACAATAGCCAGCGGCTGAAGGGATGGTGTAAACCCTACTAGGGTCCATGCAGGTAGCAAAAGTTCCCATGGTCCCTAGCATGGTGATCTACCTTCAGTTGCTGGCGACCTATAACCTGCTTTTTACATTGTATTGTCTTCGTAATTAAACTATTTTTAGATTTACATGCTAGTTTTCGACACCATTTGTGATACTGTAGTTATTTCACTGTCCTTCGATGACTGATTATTCAATAATTTATATTTTTGGTGTATGTAAAACCTTTCTCATCACTATATTGCTGGAATATTGCCGAGGTGACGTTAACATTTAACTCACTCACTAACGCACTCTTGTGACGTCATCAGAGGCTGCTTCATTAATACCGCCCTTGGGTATATAATTAAATTGATTGAAATGGTCTGTGCTAACGAATGAAGGTTTTTGAAAATTCAGATGATACCGGTAGAATCAACTACAGTGTTTGTATGTATGGTAACAATGAACAGATTCAGATAATAAGCAAATGAACTGTCTTGCATGTCGTCAGCTAGGGTCTAATTTATTGCTTGATCTCCCAAAAATATTACTGAAAGTTTCAAGTAGAGTCTTAGATATGAGGGGAGGTCAAAACGTTTTGAGAACCTGATATACAATTAACAGTCCGAGCAGATTTTGAACTTTTATTTTTCACTATAGTCTCCCTTCAGTTCAATACACTTTACCCATTTGTGCTGCAAGCTGGCAAAGTCTTTTGACTGGTCCCTAAACCAAGTTTCTGTTGTAACCTTGATTTCATCAGTGACAAATCGTCTTGCACGCAAGTGAGACTTCACATTTCGGAACAGGTCATAATCACTGGGTAGGATTGGTCAAGATTGTACTCGTGGACTCTACTTCCTCACCCTCTAGTGTGAGCTCTGCACTTAGTTTTAGAATCAGTAGGGCGTCTCTCTTCCATTTATCACAATATTAATACTGTTTGTTGCGAGGCGTTGAAACGTTCACAAGTATCTCCTGAATAATCAATGTATGCAAAACTACTATTGGCATAGCTGTTTCAAAACTTTAGGTAGTGAGTTCTCAAAACCTTTTGACCTCTCCTCGTACATAGACCCAGGAAAACCTTTGTTCGTTGTTGAATTTATGTATTGGTAGATACCAGTGAGTGAAATAATTCAAACCAGCTGGATATATTGCTTCATTTATTGCTTCATTGCTTCATTGATGTTCAGTCTATGATGTGACATGATTACCTTCTTCAGTTTTCCATTCACATAATTTCCACAAATATTTGGAGTATTAAGCCTATTTTGACCCACCCCGAGTAATTTCAAACTTCCTAATGTATCTGTAAGTAACCAGACAACCCAGTGACTGACATCATGCGCTTCAAGCTACACAGTTTGGATATGACGACATGCATCAACCAAGTCAGAGACCCTGACAACCAAATCCTGTTATTTGCCTCTTAAGTCAAGCATGGATTACTGAAGACAAATTCTAATTATATGGGATCTTCATGGGTCATCAAGTCACATCTTATGACATGCATAGACTACTGTGGACTCATTTTAGCCTGCACTATTTATAGTAAACATGGTAACCTGTTTGTGTGTGTTTTAGTAGACAGAGATAACCTTCTTCCTTTTATGCAAATTTGATCAAGAAATAGTTTGATAGTATTGTTCTGCCTTCAATAATGAAAGTTAAAGTTGTTGGTTATTGTGACTGTTTAAATGCTTTAATATCGGAAACAAGCAGTGAGGATTTTGGTGAGGTATCCACCACGAGCAGGGTAAGTCAAGGTAGGTCGTGGTTATACAAAACCAAATGTTTGTTTATATTTGTTTTAAAATAACTAAGAAGTCAACATTCTTGAGAGGCATTTAGAAGTTGGTGAATATATAAGACGAGTATATGGGTGTCGTCTTCTTTATTGTATAACACAACGATTCTAGGCTACTTCTTGAAGAAGGGACAAGAAGTAGCCAAGAAATATTGTGTTATACAATAAAGAAGACGTTGCCATCCATATACTCGTCTTATACAAGAACTCAACAGTTGTTATCCCCCGCAACGCGTTTTGCGGTGTGTGTGTGTGTGTGTGTGTGTGTGTGTGTGTGTGTGTGTGTATTAAAATGGACTCCGTCCGTCCTTCCGTGTGTGCGTCCGTGCACATTTGTCTTTTCCGGAGCATAACTCTAAAAACGTTCAATATTTCTTCCCGAAGAATGCCATTGTAGTACTCTTTTCCGGAGACTCACTTTAAAACTGTTCACTGTTTCTTCACCAAATTTCATACATAGGTAGGTCTAGTGGTGAACTGGTGCCTTTTGGTAGTTTTGGATTTCTGAATAAAATAAACAAAATTGTGTGTTTCCATGGCAACAATTTTGACTTCAACTGAATTTGATGGTAGTGCTCCTTTCTGGAGCAGAAATATTGCCGATGTGACGTTAAATAATAACTCACTCACTCTGGAGCAGAACTTTGAAACCTTTCAGTACTCTACTTCCACTTCTATATACACGCCAACACATTTGACATAGTCATAACTCGTAGACATATTCATTAAGAGTATTTTGCCATTGCGGGGGATATTGATGACTTTGTCTTCTTGTTGCATGTACATGTGGGTATAGTCTGGCAATAGCAATAAAAACCAGAGATCATACCAGAAATCATCCACGTATCGGCAGGTGGCCTCTGAGCAAAAGCAAAAGAAGAGCACAGAATAGCAACATACACTGGGATGACCTCATAGTGATTGTATTCACAAACCTGAACTGCTGGTACTTAATTTGTCGACATTACACAAGATTCATAAAGAAACTGGTGGTCACAAAAATGGTTTGCCACTCGATGGTATGGGTTAATAGGACTGCTTGTTTATTACTTTTAGCCAAATTTTGACACTTGACTGCTTTTAACCAGAGGCAATTAATATGATTCTCAAAAGTTCTTCATCTACTTGACCAAAACGAACATGATGCTTTATCCGTCTAGTAAGATCTAGATCTATGGATAAAAATACCCTTGTCTGTTATTAGCTGTTTCAGCAGGCGTCTCTGTGATTGACATGTACATGAAATATCGTGCCAGTACTGAAGTGTATGCAATGACATATCAGTCTAAATCTTTTCCATAAGTTATTCATTAAAACCGTTATTGTTAATGTTAAAGTGTATGTTATGGATCTAGTAACTTGATTATTACTTACCTATTGCTGGATCACAGGATTTCAGGTATCATACGCTTTTGGATGACAGTGTTATGACAACGGTTGTTGCATCACACCGACATTGTAAATTCTTGGATGATGGCTTATGTTTTAGGATAAAGTTATCTGTTATTAGTTAGAGAGCTGTTTTATGGTCATTTCTGTAATTAGAAATATAACACTGAATGTTTAGGTGTCCGAAAAACCGTTAAATTGGTCTGTATCATCTATGATATGGACACCTATTTAATTTTTGACACAAAAGACAATTTACTGTCTATAGCCTTCAGATTGATTATTGTGTGAACATGACATTCAATTTAAACTTGAAATGATAATGATTGAATTGTGCGCATGTGTAAATCTGGTCTCGTTGCTATATGGCTGAAATAATACCGATGCGATGTAAAAGACTTATGCAATATACATTGTATACTGGTTGCTGTTTAACTTTGTTTTCATCATCAGATTGGCAGAAACACCTTCCCATGAAGTGAATTCCAAGACAGGAAGATGAATACCTCTGCTGTGTTTACGTGTTTGTTAATTGTCTTCATGGACTTGACAAATCAAGGTATGACGATGGCAGCAAAGGATATAAACTCATGGTCGACAGATCAGAAATGCCAAGATATGGCAGATGCTGGAAAAATGCCATGATAACAATGCAAAATGGCTGCAAGAATCTCACAGGCAAAGCCCAAAGTCGGCTATCCTTGGCCTACCTCAACTGTTTCCTGGAATTTCAAGGTCGAGACGTGTATAAGTGTGACGTTGATCAACCGTTTCATGAATGTACAAAAAAAAATGCTGGATGTGGACAGAGGTTCATTTACAACCTTTTTCACACACACTCTAAATATATGTTACTTTCTTCAGGCGCAAATATGGCATGAGGAAACAGAGAACACAATTGGTCGACTTTCTAACAGTTCGTCTCAGGTAGCATCGAAACTAAAAGATTCCTACAAGCTACAGAATGAAGTACTAAAAACAACAGGAGGAAAGCATAAAAAATCAAGAAACGATCATGAACAAGGCTTCAAATTTGAGTAAGATCATTTCCGCCTCGTCTGACGACATTCGTGAGATGTTCAAGGACTTCAATGAGACAACACAGAAACACCGTGTACTCATCACTCACGTGTTTGATCGTGTTACCGAATTATAGTTCTTGGCTTATGGAGGAATTTCAAGTTTTCAGTCCATTGTGTTCTATATCCTGTTGATAATTGGGTCGTGTCTGTTGACGTCATCTTCTTGGACAAGCAGCGAGAGGCTCTGTTTGTTGGGACTGGTGATAGGGAATATCATTGTAGAACGGATGGGTTGTCTTCATGAGGCCTTGTATTTTTAGAAATCTACCGTTTCTAGTCTTTCAGAATGAGGAGGTATGTGCTGACATGTGAGTGCGTGAGTGCGTACGGTGTTTTGCCTCTTTAAGCAATATTCCAGCATGAAATGGGCTTCACACATTATACCCATACATGAATCGAGCCTGGGTCTTCGGCGCGACGAGCGAACGCTCTAATCACTACGGTACCCCACCGCGCCTATGCTGACATGTTCCTGAGATAATCTTTTCAAGTCCAGTTGAACTACACACAAGGAAATACACACATTAATACTTTTCTCATCTCTAACAACGAATAGTGATGGCTATCGCTCACAACATGCAGATCGATAATCGGAATTCAGTCATCGATCAATAATCGATTGTAATTGTAAAGCCCACCACAGAACTCATGTGGGCCAAAACGGCACACAATCACAACAAACGAAACAGGCACCTATTAATAATAATAATATCGAAGATCGATTATACTTCAAGTTAAGACACACACGCAAATTGCAATTGGTTGTTTACATTGCAGTTTAATGACTCAGGAAAATGCTTTCATTGTTCATGTCTTAATATAACAAACATAACGATTAGAAACATACTTTCTAAATTTAGTTTTGATGTTTCATTTTTTATAAATATTGATTAGTCCCCTGAGCTCATTGATAATCGCTGACACAAGCAACGTCGATCAATTGACCAATTATTTGATCAATCGCTTCAGCACTATGAAATACCCAGTGAGAAATAATGCATGTCACTCAATTCTTGGTGGTTGGTGTGGGCACAGGATAGTGTCTCTCTAACGCTCAGGCGACAGGTTTCTCCAGACGTGGACCTGATTGGTACGATTGGTGGAGGAAATACATCCGCGGACATCATAACACCTCCTACATGTTCATAACGTTCATGGACCCGCCTGGAGACAATGTTTCTTCCGTCATGTCTCTGCAGTAAGTAGGAACCTGGATTCGTCACTAAACCAAATGCGTGGACAGTTCCGTAGGTTCCAGGTAGTCATATTGTTAAACCAACGGAGACGTTGAGCGCGATGGTGACGACGTAGCACGGACCTGGCGTAGGGTCTCCTGGCTCTCAGTCCAATCTCTCTCAACCTGTTCCGAACAGAAATCCTCCGATATCCTACGAAGTCCAGACACCCTGGTTGCTGCACTCTCACCCGTGGCAGTACTATCACGCAAATATAGTACCCGGATGTACCGATCTTGGGTTGCAGTGGTGACTCGAGGTACGGAAACCCCTTCCTGTACGGTGACAGTCATTTGTTATGCCAGTTTGGTTGTAACGAGCTGCAAGACTTGATATCATGGTCTCACTTACATTCAGATGCTTGGTAACAGAAGATTGTGACTCTCCAGCCTGCATTCTTCCAATGGCGATGGTGCGTGTCACAGCGCAAGACATGGCACAGTGATTTGAAAGTTTTTCTTATAGATTTCTGAAAGATATTTTTACACGTGAAATTGTGTAATATCGTGTTATCAACACTTTTGTTAGATATTTTGACGATTGTTTGAACACAATTAATTAGAACAGGTAATTGATAGATTTTTCTTTTTTGGGATAGTATATTAAGTCCAGCATGTCAAGTATTGTTACATTTTGCTGTCCCGTTGAATGGAATTTTGCCAAGCTGAAAGTTTGCTGACTTCACAGGGACTATTTTAGTCACATCGCCATTCCTTTTTATTGAAGAGTACTTTGTAAGATGCACGTAGTGTTTCCTGTTCCAGGAGATGATATATGGTAGTCAGCTTCTAGTTCGATTGGGTTCGGTCCTTATTGGGTTCATCATCCTCCTTGGCTTCTCCGTTTTCTTCAAGGACCCGAACACCATCAACAACCAACCTCTGGAGGAGATCCGGAAAGAGATCTCATATATCAGGGGCTGTCTCAGAATATCAGGTTAACCGTAAGTGCTTGAAACAATATATTTAATACCTTTATGGCAAGATTAGTTTTATACCTTGCCTTACAGATAAAGGGCTGTAGTTGAAAATAATGTCGGTTGCTGTTTAGAGTTAGCTACCTTTGTTCTGGTAGGACACACTGCTCATGGTTACAGACCACCGCCAAATGGTTGGATTATTGCTGAATGCGGTGTTTGTTTAACAAACAACCAATTCATGAGAACAACTTGAACTTTGTTGTCAACTTGAACTTTGTTAACATTCTCCTGACAAGGTTAGCTATGTTGTCACTGTAATGTGCGAAATCATCCATTGGATCCTATCACATTCTAAGGTGACATCACGTTTCACGGATGTGAGAGTTCATATTAGAAGAGAGAGTATTTCAGAAACTTTGGTATTTAACAGTGTTGATGAACATGTGTTTTCAGCATGTATGTTCAGATTTGTGGGTTTTGCTGATATTGATTCCTAGAAAATTACCATTTCAAACCTCCAACCAATCCTGTTGGCTCTAAATGGAACGTCCAGGTATCAAATACCCAATGAAAGAAGCAAATGCAAAGCACACATGCATTTATCTCCTAAATGGTTGTTTTGATTGGCAGAATCAAGCAGCAACACTCAACACATGTCAACCCAGGGTGAAGAGGGAGTCGAAGCTGACTGTGAGTAGCTGTTACTTCTTTGTCAGAACATATAGTGATAGATTACCACGGTTACAGATTCGTGTGAGTGTTTTTGAGAATCGGGTCCAAAAGTCAATTTCCTCTCTTTAAAACTTTGGATTTACACATTTAACAACTCTAATCTGGACAGTAGGCTTCCACTAAATGGTTCCACTGTCCTGTTAACCATGTATCCTCACGGGTAATGATGCCATCTCTTTGCCTTTTTATAATGACGGGTTTTACTGCAATTTTTAGCTTTCTCTCAGACCTCAAAATCACTCAGATACCTTGATACTGTGTTACATGATACATAATGTTACGTGTTTATAACATCTTTGTGTGAGAGTTGATAAGTACTGTTTTGGGGTTAAATAAATACTTGTTTAATTGGAATTCTTGACATGGTTTTCTCACCAGTGATGAAGGAAATACATCATAACAAGTTTCTTGTATCATGTGCCTTTGGAATACCAAAGGACGTTAAAGTTAGTGAGTTCGTCTGCTTTCACGCCGCTTTGAGCAATATTCCAGCTACATCGCGTCAGGGGACACTGGAAATGGGATTCACAAATTGTACCCGTGTGGGGAATCGAACCCGGATTTTCAGCGTGGCGAGCGAACGCTTTAAATACTAGGCTACCCCACCGACAGGTCATTAAAGGTTAATACTTGTTGTTTCTCTGTCTGGCACTGGGCATTATGGGAATACAACAAGATCTGTTTTTAGTCTGTGTACTGTGTCTAAGTGTCTGTGTCATGTTAAACTGCAGCTGGTATCACACTGGACAAAGCAAACGAAACAGACTGATCCCAAGAAGCCACACACAGACATATATGCACATCATTAAGTAAGTTCTAAAATCATGAAAATGATGTTAAACCCAATTCAGTCTGCCCAAAGAACATTATGTTACTATGGTTACCATCATTTACCTTTTACATGTTTTAGCATTGTTTCCTCCTAGATTCACCAGCGAAGGCATCCCCGTCATCAACTTCAGCAAAGGTACAGAAATTCAGCTTGTACATTGGGTTTATATGTGTCACAGAATTCGATATTGTTTGGCAAAGGGCCCTGGTGATGACATGTATGTGGTGTGTGTGTGTGTGTGTGTGTGTGTGTGTGTGTGTGTGTGTGTGTGTGTGTGTGTGTGTGTGTGTGTGTGTGTGTGTGTGTGTGTGTGTGTGTGTGTGTGTGTGTGTGTGTGTGTGTGTGTGTGTGTGTGTGTGTGTGTGTGTGTGAATCCATAATATCATTTTTTGACTTTAATCACATGTTCTTAGTGAATGAATATATGCCCTGGGGTCACCGGCAAAAGTTTGTTCAGACACTAGTGTATGTAGTTTGTGCAGACCAAGATAGCATTTCTTTTATGAAATTCTTGGCAAGAAATATAAGATAATTATCAAATCTTACAGAACAGTATTCTACGCGACATACTTCCTTTCAGAACCCTCAAACCATTTTTGAAAGTCAAGGTAAAACCACGGTGTCAGGCTTACTGATTGGGTTGATAGATGTAAGTGTATGACACATGCCGATCAATGCTCGAGATGTCAATTGTTAGGTCAAGGTTTGTTTTCATACAGGTTTAGCTCAACTATTTTTGAATATTTCATCAAGAACATTGAGAACCATAATAATGCTGATCGCTCATTTCAGTGATCCATTATTCTCTTTGTCAGTATGTAATTGCATTGTTCCTGTGCCATTTGTTTTCCAGGCATCCAATTCTGAAGCACCAAGATACCATCTTCGACCTCGAAACCCGTCCCCGCCAGTCCAAGCCCAGTGCTCAGTGGGGAATCTCTATTTAAAACTTCTCCAAGATTGTCGCCATTTTGAACAAAACACAAAGAAAAATGGCATTCTTGCTCGAGCTGTTTTAGCGGAAAAGAATTGACTGATTCAGTAGCCGATAGACTTTCATTAATCATTTAAAGGATTAATTATGTTGTGTTGTGATTTGCTTTCTGGAAAGTCAACAGGTCGTATTTGTAAGAAACAGAGAGATCTTGCAAAGTTTTTGAAAATGAATGGTTTAAGCATAAAATGCTTAAATAGTTATATAGGGAATTGTGAATATAATTCTTTTTAGTGGAAGACAATCTTTTAGAACCATCCTCTAGCTTTTTGACTTTATACATTCAACATCGTGAAAACGTGTACAGAAATGGTGCTTAAATGTTGAATTTCATGATCCTGGACACTGATGGATACATTCTTTGATATTGTATGCTTTATCTCGGGCTCTAGAATAGACGATAAATCAGTGATGTTGGTAATGATTTCAAACTGATATGTGGCGTCTCAATAATGTGTGTCACTGTAAGTTTGAACAGAACTGTGAAACTTAACTCTTGTCGTGCCATCTTGTACGTTGTCTTCACATGTGTGTATGATTGTCCTAGATGTGTGTAACATTTGGAATGGGACATAGTCTTCTCATTTACTGAAGTAACTTCAAAACAATTGTTCTGAATATCTTGTCATATTTTTACATGAATCTAGATAAGTGTTCTGCACGTTGTTTATATTAGATATAAGTATTTTGCACACTTTGTCATGTTTATGGAGTAAAATAATATGCATGAAGTCAGTTGTTGTACTCATGTTTAGCATCATGGTATTTATATAATAGCTGAATCAGCAGTATTTATGGTTTGTACTTTTGTTTCACAGAAAATATATTTATACACACTTGTCAATGTATATACAAAGGTTGCTAAAAGAAGTTTGATAATCTCAAGTTGAATGGAGTGATTGTATAAAATATCCATGCTAATCTCACCTGAGAGTTATATGAATAGGTGAGCAACAGTGCTGCACTATTTAACATTTGTATCTTGAAACATTGTGCTGATAAGTATTGTCATTACTCACATGTTGTTTGTGTTGTAAATTTGTAAATAAAACTTTAAAACCTGAGTATGTTAGTAATCTTTCCATGAGATGAACAAAGGACACTGCATCATCTGACATCAGTTTGGTAGCCCGAGAGGTTCGAATCCAATATTCAATATGGCTACCATTAGTTGATGATGCAAACATCGTTACACCACCAGCACTGAAGATCCAGGTTAGAATTGGTCTTCAGCATCCCGTGCTTGTAGGAAGAGGCAACTAACGGAATCGGGTTATCAGACTTGCTGACTTGGTTGACACGCCACCGTATCCCTATTGCGTAGATCGATGCTCATGCTGTTCATCATAGGATTGTCTGGTCCAGACTCGATTATTTACAGACAGCCGACATATAGCTGCAATATTGCTGGGTGCAGCGTTAAACATTCACTCACTGACTACGAAGAATAACAGTGTCGGAGTATGTGGCTCTAGCCCGATGACAGCGATGTGTACAATTTAACCACGGATCAAATATGGAAGGTAGCCTACTAGTTAAAGGTTTGCTCGTCACGCCGACGACCCGGGTTCGATTCCCCACATGAGTACAATGCGTGAAGCGCATTTCTGGTGTTCCATGCCGTGATATTGCTGGAATATTGCTAAAAGCGGAGTAAAACCCATCTCACTCACTAATTCACTCACTCTCAACAGATTAACTGACCATCTTCTAAGTGCATCTAGTATCTTCGGTGTCTTTGTGATCAGCCATGGTCTGGCCTGGTAGCAAATGTAAGAATTTCACTATCTATTCAGTGTACTCAAACTGAAGAGAGAACAATATGGCTATATGAATATCAGTCGTGGTTTCTGTGTTCCATGGCGAATCTTAAAAACGACCCATTCCGAACAGAACTGAAGACTGGCTGATGGCACCCATGTAGGTAAGATGTGTTAGTCTATTAATGGCTAAGACTGTGTTAGTGTACATCAGGGTGATCCTTCAGTGTTTGGGTAAATATCGGTTTTACTACGCAACTCATTCATTCAAATAACTGGTCACTTTTACTCAAACTGGTCACCAGACAACGGACGTAAAGCTATTTACAAAGACATTGATGTTGTTCTGTCTATTTATTCACATTTCTAAATATTTAAAATGCAAGTGATAAAATGTTTGTCAACATAGCATTTGCAGCGATGGAAAGGCGCGCAACAAGGACTGAAGAGTTACCTCCCTTCCACCCCCGCACACTCTCAGAACTTGACATTTTAGTAAAAAAACGTAGAAGTTCGTAATCAACACATCATCTCCATCCCATTACAACAAACGATGAAAGTTTGCATTTTCGCAATAAATCTCTTACTTCACATTAATAAATTTGACGAAGGCTCATACCTAAAGGGTATTTGACTTCGCCCATTCTTTAGCAAATGTTACTGACTATGCAATCATTAATCAAAAGCTCAATGCATCACTGCATTTCTCTTGGACTGTATTCCAGTATATTTATCCTACGTGTGTTGCCATTCCACACAGTAAAGATTTATTTCTGTTTAATTTCAAACAGAAGTTGAACAGCTCGCTGTTGGTTGGTTTGGTTTACTGAACGAAGCGGACGTAATATGTATATTTGTCATAGGGGTATTTCATCTCCAGTGAAAGGAATATTTGGGTCAGAATGAAAAGTAATACCTTGCAAAATCTCTGACAAAAGCTTTATATACTTAACATCATTAGAAACTTGAAATCCATATTATTGGTCATTATTAAGAATGGGTTATTCGCTGTAGTTTCTTTTTGTATGAAACACAACAGTCACGAGCGACTGCACGTGAATTGAAATGCAAGCGCACAGACATTTCAAAGTAGGAAAACCCATTCAAACTGTAAGTTTAATCTATGTAAGGCGTGCATGCCGCGTCTCACAAGTCATCAATGCGAGCCTAGCATGGGTAGGTTTGATGCAGGACAATCTGTTGCAACAGGTGCATGAGCCAAGAGCTGTGGTCAGTGAGTTCAGGTTTACGCCGCACCCCTCAATATTCCAGCTATGTGGGGGCGGTCTGTAAATAATCGAGTCTGGACCAGACAATCCAGTGATCAACAGCATGAGCATCGATCTACGCAACAGGAATACAATGACATGTGTCAACCAAGTCAGCGAGCCTGACCACCTGATCACGCTAGTCGCCTCTAAGCATGGGTTACTGAAGATCAATTCTAACCCAGATCTTCACGTGTATGTGGTCTTCAGACAATACACAGTATGACAATAACAAGTAACGCTTCAATCCATCATCATCTGTTTTGTTACTTGGATCATAGCAGTATCACGCACATGTATTCTCATGATAATAAACACACTTATTCCATTGTGGAATTCAATTTAAATTATTTAATTAATTTAATCAAATCTTTTTACCCTGGTTGAGTTTCTGCTGGAAACATAACCCTCGTTTGTCTATTTTCGTTATCATTTCTTCCCGAGTACCCAAACCATTCGCCTCATTCCAATCCTGGACGTCATATCGATAAGCTTCGGAGTCCACGATAAAACATGATTCACTTGTTCTGTTTTGTAAGTGACTATCACTTCAAGCAAAACAACCTGGCAGTTGAATTGATATTTACATGGATGGTGTTCAATCTGTTTACCAAATATTATTAACCATGGAAATATTTTCCTCATTCTCATTCTTGCACAAACGAACGAATGAGCCAATGCCGCCAACAGAGAGCCACGTGCTTGGTTGGTTTGTTGTTTAAAGTTTGAGACACTAATATGTTTGTTTGTTGTTTAACGCCGCACCCAGCAATATACCAGCTATATGGTGGCGGTCTGTAATTAATCGAGTCTGAACCAGACAATCCAGTGATTAACAAACATCATGAAATCGAACTACGTAATTGGGATACGATGACATGTGTCAACCAAGTCAGCGGGTCTGACCAGCCGATCCCGTTAGCCGCCTCTTAGCATGGGTGACTGAAGATCGGTTCTAACCCGGATCTTCACGTTAGGTAATGTTACATAGCATTTAGCAGCCATATAGGAACAAGCAAATTACTGTCTGTTAACAGGTTGTATTTGTTTGTTGTTTAACGCTCACTCAGTAATATTACAACTATATGGCGACGGTCTGTAAATACTAGAGTCTGGACCAGACAATCAAGTGATAAACATCATGGGCATCGATCTACGCAATTGGGATAGAATGACGTGTCAACCAAGTCTGACCACCCGATCCCGTTAGTCGCCTCTAACGGCAAGCATGGGTTGCTGAAGATCCCGGATCTTCAAGGGTGCAAGTAGTATAACCGATATAAAACTAGTCCAATGACTTGGACACGACCATGGGTCATCCCACCCGCTTACCATTGACAATAACGCATGGATTATATATTACATGAACAAAAGAGAAAAATAAAACACACTGCCCTTCCTTAGTCTAACGCTTAGTCTCTGAAAATATATCGTTTTGATAGAAACTAGCAGCTACATGTATGTTGAAAAGAAACCCAAGTGAGAGGGGAGATTCAGAACTTGAGGAAAACCGAGACTTATACTCCATGTGGGGCGTTTGCATTACAGACAGTGATTCACGGATTGTGAGACAGGCTAGTCCCAACCCCGCCCTTACAAAAACTTCAAAAAATAATAAACAGTTACAGTCACCAACATAAAGACAAGCATGCAGATTCACCACCAGCCTGCATGTGATAATCTTACTACCATTAATCGCCTCCCGGGGCGGTGGGGTAGCTTAGTGGTTAAAGCGTTCACTCGTCACGCTGAAAAACCGGTTCGATTCCCCAGATGGGTACAACCTGTGAAGCCCATTTTTAGTGATATTTGCTGGAATATTGTGAAAAGCGGAGTAAACTAAACTCGCTCACTAATCGCTTCCATTTTCTAGCAAATCGTGTGTCTGCTCGGAAGGTCCTATCCGGGGTAGAAGAGGTCTTCAGCAACCCATGCTTGCCACAAAAGGCGACTATGTTTGTCGTAAGAGGCGACTAACGGGATCGGATGGTCAGGCTCGCTGACTTGGTTGACACATGTCATCGGTTCCCAATTGCGCAGATCAATGCTCATGCTGTTGATCACTGGATTGTCTGGTCCAGACTCGATTATTTACAGACCGCCGCCATATAGCTGGAATATTGCTGAGTGCGGCGTAAACTCACTCATTCACTCGGGAGGTCCTTGGTTCGGTCCCATGGACACGCAAAACCAAACACACGTCAAAAAATGTATTTATTATTTACAAAACTGATCGACTCTAGGTAAGAATAGTGTATCTGAGTGGGGTTTCATGTTAAACTTCAGAATTGTAACCTTTAAGGTCGTCATAAAACAGTGCTTCTGGACTTAACTGCACGCCTGTCGTTCACTTAAACCTACTTTGATCTAAGTGCACATCCCAGTGTAGGTTAAGGGCTCTACATACGCCACTACGTACATGTGCACTTGATCGCGACGTTAACTGCTGTAAAACGTTAATGGTCGTACAGGTCGTACCCAAATTCACCTGACGAGTGAGTGGGTTGAGTTTGACGCCGCTTTTAGTAATATTCCAGCAACACCAAGGCGAGGGATGCCACAAAAGGGCCCCACACATTATACCCATGTGGGGAATCGAACCTGGGTGTTCGGCTGTCGCGCGAACGCCTTAACCACTAAACTACCCCACCGCCCCCATGACGCCAAACACGTTTGAGGACGGGAGCGGTGGAGTAGCCTAGTTGTTAAAGCGTTCGCTCCTCACGCTCAGCCCCGGGTTCGATTCCCCACATAGGTACAATGTGTGAAGCCCATTTCCGGTGTCCCCCGCCGTGATATTGCTTGAATATTGCTAAAAGCGGCGTAAAACCCAACTCAATTACTTTGTATCTAAACACATCATCCTTACATACTATGTTTATACGAAGACAAACTGTTTTTTTCTTTTTTTTTTATTCATTCAAAATCAGTAGCTACAAATATACAAAATGCATGATGCAACAAAACTTGTACGCAATAAAATAGAAATTCATATGGGTTGGCATTACACATACTGGAATCTTCATTAGTATTAAG